CATACATGATCCCCCCCAAAAAAAGGAGAAACTTTTCTCAGTAAGGGGTACACCTGGCCCTTAATAGGGCAGAGACAGAGGGTTGGTCCAATTTTCACCGATTCTAGGAAACATTTAGTTAAACCCCTTTTCCAGAGTCTCACTTTACCTGTCCTAACACTAGAGCTATACTTTGAGATACCTTGACTACAAAGGTGGGGCTGTTATCTAATACTGGCAGCTCAAATCTAGGTATAATCTCCTGATTACTATAGAGGCAGTTTCCATCCTAGTGGGGTATATTTCAACCTAATCTGACGTGTCTACAAAAACTACACCTTATTGCTGGTGGCTTCTACCAATGCTCTCCTGGGGAAGTTCCCTGGGACCTGAATTCCCAGGGGGACCCCCTTACCTTGCTTAGCATTTACCTGTGCACAGACAGTACTTCTAGCAACTCTGCCTCACAGAAGTTCAGAAGTCTTGGTGACACTTAAGTGAGTAACCTGGTGTCACTGGGCAACTCTGACCTAGAGCCTCTGGGACCAACAGTCTTGCATATGGAGGGTCCACCAATGATCTGGTCCTTCGGTGGCTTGCTTCTGTTCAGCCAATTCCTTCCAGCTGCAGTTGGTAACCCTCTTTTCTCTGTGGATGGCACAGTGTCTCCATCAAAGGGTCTGGATTAAGGCCAAAACTTCAGGAACTGTGCCCAAATGGTGTGGTCTAGGGTGACTACCACTGCCCCTGCATATCAGGTCCCATCCTGAACGTAACTGCTCCCATCCGTGAACAGTACCTTGTCATCTGTTACCTCTGTGCAGTCATGAATGGGTTCCTCCAACATCATCTGGAAGCAGGCTGGCAGGGTCGATGGCCAGAGTCTTATGAATCCCGACACAGGACTGGTCCAGGAGAAAAGCTTGGCCTATCCAGGTTAGCTCCTGGCCCAGAGTCTGCTTATCTGCCTCCTTCATCAGCAATGCTGTGGTGGCCACTGCCTGGGAGCATGCTGGCCACCCTGCTGCCACAGGGTCCAGTCTCTTAGACAGATAGGCAACAGGTCTCTTCCAGGGACCTAGAGTCTGAGTGAGAACCCCTTTGGCAATGCCTCTTACCTCACTCACGTAGAGGTGAAAGGGCTTCGCGACCTCTGGCAAGGCTTGGGCAGATGCTGAGACAAGAGCCCTCTTTAGCTCCTCAAAGGCCCATTGTCCAGTTCAGCAGCTGTGTTCCTTCAATACATGTTCCCTCTGAGGTCCACAGTCCTTCTTCGATGTCCAAGGAGGCTCCCTGCTTTCTACAATAAACATACTAATTCCTTCCTATTAGTTGCTGGCCTTTTATAATTTCAAATTAACTTCTAAACTATCTTTCTATATCTTCAAAAATACATAACCATGCCTCAAATTTTAAAGAAAAGGCAAGGGAGGAGGGAGCAGGTCCAGTATCCTGTTCCCAGGCCTCCAGCCACTTGAAATTTAAAATGCCACATTTTTTTTTCTACAAATATAGATTTATCTGCATTTCTAAGCCCTCCTCTACTCCCTCCCCCCCGCAGAACATCGGTGAAAATTGTCCAAGCAGTCGCGGGGTGTTAAATCATACAAATAATTGTTTTCACATTGTTTTAACACAATTCTAAGTAAATTATAACCCTTTGTGATGAAGTCTACTTAAATCTATAAAGTAGACACACATGACTGAAACCAAAAATGATGGGTCGTGTTTTTTTTATCTACTCAAGATACCCTATGTCTTTTGATTGGGGCATTTATTCCATTTACGTTTAAAGTTATTATCGATAGGCACTTGTTTGTAACCATATTTATTCTTTATGCCTGTGTTCCTAATTCGCTTCCTATTTCTTCTTTTTAAAGGAGACCCTTTAGCATTTCTTGCATTGTGGGTTTGGTGGTAGTAAACTCCCTTAGTCCTTTTTTGTCTGTGAAGTTCCTGATTTCACCCTCAATTTTGATTGATAGCCTTGCTGTGTACAGTATTCTTGGATTCAGACCCTTGCTTTGTATGACTTTGTATATTTCTTTCCATTCCCTTCTGGCCTGATGTGTTTCTGTTGAGAAATCAGTCTATAGTCTGATAGGGGATCCATTGTAGGTAACTTTCTGTCTCTGGCCACTTTTAAGATTCTTTGTTATTGGTGTTTGCCAATTTAATTATAATGTGCCTTGGAGTCAGTCTTTTGAGGTTTGTTTTGTTTGGGACTCTGTGAGTGTTTTCTTCCCTATATCAGGGAAGTTTTCTCTCATTATTTCTTCAAACAGGTTTTCTATTCCTTGCTCAGTTTCATCTTCTCCTGACACTTCTATTATACGGATGTTGTTTTGTTTCGTGTTGTCCCAAAGTTCCATAGGCTCTCTTTTGCTTGGGTATTTTTTCCTACTTTGTCTTCTAGCTCACTGATGTGTTCCTCCACTTCTTCTAGTCTACTGTTAATGCTTTCTATTGGGTTCTTTAAAAAAGTATATATACATATGTGTGTGTGTGTGTGTGTGTGTGTGTGTGTGTGTGTGTGTGTTTATTTATTTATTTATTTCAGAGAGGAAGGGAGAAGGAGAGAGAGAAAAAACATCAACGATGAGAGGGATCCACCAATCAGCTGCATCCTGCATACCCCCCACTGGGGATCAAGCCCGCAAACCCAGGCATGTGCCCTTGTCCAGAACCAAACTCAGGACCCTTCAGTCCACAGGCTGAAGCTCCATCCACTGAGCCAAGCTGGCTAGGGCTCTATTGAGTTCTTTATAGCAGTGATATCGTATTTCATTTCTTCTTGGTTGTTCTTCATTTCTCTTTGCACTGCACAGCCGGTATCCTTGTAGAACTTCAGGCCGCCTTTCTGTGCCCAGCCCAGCCATGGGTTGATTTCTAGAGTTCCCTTCAACCAGCAGTCCTGTGGACCCTTCCACATTCGCAGGCTATGCTGACCCCAACAGCCACAGATTTTGTGGGGCACAGACTTCGTTTGAAACTCTAGATCCCACTGCACACATTTCTCCCTCCAGCCTGGATCACAGGCCTCACCTTTCTCTAGGCCAGTGGTCGGCAAACCCATTAGCCACAGAGCCAAATATCAACAGGACAATGATTGAAATTTCTTTGGAGAGCCAAATTTTTTAAACTTAAACTTCTTCTAATGCCACTTCTTCAAAATAGACTCGCCCAGGCCGTGTTATTTTGTGGAAGAGCCACACTCAAGGGGCCAAGGAGCCGCATGTGTCTCTCAAACCACAGTTTGCCGACCATGGCTCTAGGCGAATTTTGACCTTTCCATGAGAAGGTGCAGGGCTTGTCTGCATCCGAGTATTTGCGCTGCTTGAAACCCAGTGTTTGTGGGTTTGCAGCTAGTCCCTGGGTGTTATGGTTGTAGGGTCCTGGGAGTTATCCGAGTTCTTCTCGGTAGAAGGTGAGAATTTGGTGGCACTTTTTATAAACACAAACTCCCGAGGAAAATAGTCCCTTTTCAACATCCTGCTCCCACATCAAGACTCTCATGTCTATGGAACAGCCCAGTGCCATCAGTAGGTGAGTGGATGGACAGCTGTGGTGCATTTCCACCGTGGAACACTGCACAGCTGGGAAAAGGAAGACCTCTTACCCCTTGCACAGCCTGAGCATAATGCTAAGTGAAATTAGCCAGCCAGAGAAAGACGAGTAAGTACCTTATGGTTTTGCTTATTTGTGGAATTTAATGAACAAACGGAACTAACAAGCAAAATAGAGAATTTTAGAAATTAATTACATTTGTGATTGGTGTTTTTTTATAAAAACACATTAAGCCGAAACTGATTTGGCTCAGTAGATAGAGCAGCAGCCTATGGACTGAAAGGTCCCAGGTTTGATTCCAGTCAAGGGCATGTACCTTGGTTGTGGGCACATCCCCAGTAGGGAGTGTGCAAGAGGCAGCTGATAGATGATTCTCTCTCATTGGCGTTTCTAACTCTATCCCTCTCTCTTCCTCTCTGTAAAAAAATCAATAAAATATATTTTAAAAAACACATTAAATCAAATCTTCATACTGTTCTGTTATTTGCCCTTTTTTCATGTAACATCTGTAAATACGGATCTACTCCATATTTTTAGTATATGAATTACTATATTCTCTTAGTGCTTCTCAAACCAATTTCCTGTTTTTAATTTCTAAACCATTATTGATGGATAGTTTTGTAAATTACAATGAATTACTAGAAAGATGAAAAGAATAGCCATAATGTCTGAAACATTAGTGCTCGTCCTGTCACTTTCTCCCCCAAAGCAGCACCAGCAGATTCTGCTAATGCAACATCAGCCCTGTGACCCGATCCCAGCGGTCAGGTCCTTCCCTCGCTTCCTCCCATGACCCCAGCCTTCGGCTGCCTGGCTGCAGACTCGCTCTCAGAGAAAGCCCAGGCAGGGAGGAGAGCAGGGTCTCTGGGAGGCACCCCAGGGCCCTGGGGCCTTAGTCTAGCCTCTGGCCCTGCGGGCAGTGAGGACAGCACCAGCCCACATGGTAGTTTGAGGATTGCAGGCGGCAACACTGTACGTGCTGCTCCAGCTCCGGCTGGGACACGCTCAGCCCACGAGAGGGCTGTGCAGCTCACTGCTGCTGCCACTCAGTGGGGTGGAGAGGGGCTCCCGTCCTCACCAGGGCACTGCCTCCGCCGTTCAGTTTGCCCTTCTCGGATGGCACATACTGCCTCCAGCCTGAGGGTCCCAGAGGCGCGCTCTCTGCGGGTCTTCTTGCTGGCCCCCCCCTGCACTCCACTCCGAATCACCTCTTGCCCAGGCTCCCTCGTCGCTCTTCCTCAGAGCTCAGTGTGTTCACACGTGGGTGAGCAGCACTTCCTTCATCAGAAATGCCGTGCTTGATGTTCCATCGATTACAAACCTGAAATGGGAAGGGGGTTAACGGGGTCATCATCTCCCGCACTGCGGCGCCCTCCAGGGGAGGAGCTGCGCCTGCACGGTCCTCTCCCCGGGTGTGTGCGGAGAGCGGCTGACGGGTTGGCTTCTCCCCTCAGGGGAAGATGGAGGCCATCACGGCGGTGAAGCTGCTGAGCTGCTTTGACGACCTGGTGGCCGCAGGCACAGCCTCCGGGCGGGTCGCCGTCTTCCAGCTGGTGTCGTCGCTGCCCGGGAGGAACAAGCAGGTGAGCCGCCGCGGTCCTGGTTCGGACAAGTCCCCAGGGTTTTAAAAGAGAGTCCTCCTGTGCCTGGTCAGCGCTGGCCAGGGAAGCTCCCACCGCGTGCTTGTAGCAGGCAGCGTGTTGGTCCTGGCAGGACATGCAGAGAGCACATGTGGCGACTTGATGCCGCTGGGCCCTCTCTGGCTGTGCTCTGGGCTTTGGCGGTACGTGGGCAAATGGGACCCAGCTCGCCCAAACGTGGGCGGCTCCGGCCACCTTGTCCCCAAAGCTCCACCCCGAGCCGCTCCTTTCCTCCTCTGTGTGACTGGGGGCTTCCTCCTAGCTCCGGAGATTCGACGTCACCGGGATCCACAAAAGCAGCATCACCGCCCTGGCGTGGAGCCCCAACGGCATGAAGCTGTTCTCCGGGGACGACAGGGGGCGGATCGTCTACTCCTCTCTGGACCTGGACCGGGTAAGAGCTTCCGAGGCCCCGGGCCGGGGTCCGGAGCGGTCATTGCCGTTTTAGTTCGTCAGCGTGTGTTCTCCATCATCGTCCTGTTGTCTTAGTTGTAACACACCCTGTTTCAAGGACTTTCCTAATGTTTCATGAGCCTCTGCTTGGGGATGGAAGAGCTGGCCTTGGTTTGCACGGGAGCGGCCACGTTTTCACTCCCTTGCTGCCTCTTCTGCCGTCCTAATGCCGGAGGGTTTGTGGGAACGAGGTGACGCCCCCGTCAGCTGGACAGAGGTCAGCGCTTTCGGTGTGCACCGCTCACCGCTCGCCCTGCGCTGCCGCTGTGAGGTGGCCAGGTCCAGCTCCGCCCTCACGTCTCCTACTTATTAATCCTCCGAGAGTCCCCGGAGCTGTGCTCTCAGCCCAGTCCACGGAGGACACCAGGAGACATGGCAGCAGGACAGAGCCACACGCTAACTCCTGCAGAGCTCAGCTGCGGACAGCTTCCGCCACAAGCCCGCCCCTCCACCCCCACCTCGCGTCACTGGCCTCCTGCCTCCCCATCACTGGCCTCCTGCCTCCCCGTCACTGGCCTCCTGCTGCCCGCCCGGCAGGTCTGACCTCCGAGGTGGCGCGGTCCTTCCATTTCTTACTGTAGCCTTCACGCCGAGTGCAGGGCAGGAATTCAAGTACTAGCTGAGTGGCTCTTGTCCCTCGGACCCAAGACTGACTTCTTATCGGTGCTCTCCAGCAGCAGCTCAGACTGCCTGGTCTCAGACCCCTTCACACCGCTGAGAGTTCTGTGTGAGTTCTGTGTGCTCAGTGCACCGTGATAGAAACCAGACCTGAGAAAGTAAAGCATATTTATTACATTTGTTTTATTGGTTTTTAAAAATATATTTTATTGATTTTTTTAATGAGGACAGCCAGAGATGGCCTAGAGAGAAAGGGAGAGGGATAGAGAGTTAGAAACATCGATGAGAGAGAAACGTCGATCAGCTGCCTCCTGCACACCCCCTGCTGGGGATGTGTCTACAGCCAAGGTACATGCCCTTGACCGGAATTGAATCTGGGACCCTTCAGTCCACAGGCCGACGCTCTATCCACTGAGCCAAACCGGTTTCAGCTAAATTTATTTTTAAATAATAATAAACCTGTTATATGTTAACATAAATAACATTTTTATGAAAGTAATTGTTTCAAAACAAGTAGAAAGAGTGGCATTGCTTTCCACGCTTGCGAATTTCTTTCATACCTGCTGTGGGGAAGACGGCCGCAGTCTGTTGCAAATACATTGTTTTGCTCGGAAGAATAAAGAAACTCCAGCCTGTGGTTAGAAACAGATTGTTTTAATAGCCTTTCCAGAGAACTGTGATATTCTTCTCTAGTTCTGTCCCCCATTGACTAATGGTAGTTGCAGGTGAGTGACAGTATGGAATTGAAGCCAGGGTGATTTTTTGTGCTGTTACCGTGGAATCCACTGGTATGTCTTGCGGTCAGAAAGGCTCTTTGATCCACGTGCCATTTTGTAACAGAACACACTGAGCCCGGAGTGAGGCGGCTCTGCCACGTGTTGACACATTTAATTACGTAACTCGGAAGAGAGCGGCTCGGTTAGTGTTGTCATTCTGATCAGAAGAGCCTCCAGCTGCGGGAATCTCTCAGGTTCCCCAGGCGGCTACGGCTTCGGGTTCTAATCTTCCTTTGAAAACCTGATCGTCATCGTCAGCCACAAACACTGCTGCTTGCTGCCCTGGGAACACAGGCTCCCTCTGTTCTCCCTCGTGAAGGCCTGTCAGTACCACCCGGAGGGATGGCCGCCTCCAAAGCAGCAAGGCGTGTGAGAGGCAGCTGCCGGCTGGCGGCGCTGGGGGCACGGTAAGCACCGAGGACAGGGTGCTCCCGTGCATGGCGGACGCAGCGCAGAAACACGGAGTCCAGGGGCCAGATTGCGTGAAGTCGCCCTTCTCCACCCGAGAAGATCTTAAGTGCTGAGCGCCTGTGTGGGGCCCAGCTGCACGGGGAGTGGGGTTTCCTGCTCACTTGGCCACCTTGAAGCTCTGCGGCTCCCCCATGTGGCTGTGCTCCATCAGTGCAGGCCACTGAGCAAGGCCGGCAGCCTGTGGCCTGCGACTGCGGGCTGCCCTTGGAGACCGCGCTGTGCCGGAAGCTGACCCCGGACACTGCGGAGGGTCCCGTGTGTCCTTTCCCGCCGCCACTCGCCGGCCACAGGACGCTGCTCAGCGGGAAGCAGGATCTAAAGACGCTGTGAGATTTGCAAAAATAAAGCAGGGGAGGGTGTAGGTTGTTGTAAAACGCAGTGCGGTGAATGTCATCGCGTTGCCAGGAAAGTCAGAAGCTAACAAGCTGCCGCTGGCGTAGCTGCCAGTGCGGGTGGAAGTCTGCCCGAACGGTCCTTGGCCTTGGAGGGGACGGGCCTCTGTCTTCATCGGGTGACGGTTACCGGCTTGGGTGCTTGGCACAGTTCACGGAGCTGTGAGTCTAATGGGTGAATTGTCCCCTTGTAACCCTTAGGGTGAGTCTGATTGCCCTTCCCCTCCCCTCCTGTCCTCCCCTCCTTTTCTCTCCTCTCCCCTTAACCTCCCCTCCCCTCCCCTCCCCTCCAGGCCTGTGCTAGCACATCAGTACTTCTTCCCCGGAAACGGGCTCAGGGAAAGAGGGAAAGAGGGACGGAGGCAGGCAGATCTCTGACTCCACGAAGCAGAGTTTGTGTTGACAGCAAAGTGCCTTCTAGATTTCACTTTGTTCTTTGATATGTTTAATACCATTTCAATTTCCTTCTAACCTCCTGTTTTCTCTGACCTTTCAGTCGGCAGCAATGAAATGTCCCCCAAATTGCATTGAACTCTGAGGCAAAGTATAATATGAACTTAGCTGGTCGTAATCTCAGCAATTTTATGGAAAGTCCCATGTGCCCTTTGTCATAGGATAAGTAATACTCGTGGTGCAGCATGTTTCTGCTTAGATCTTTATGAATTTTTTCTTTGAACGAGACATTTAAAAATAAATTATATGGAGTTTTTAATGTTTCTTGAGGTGCCTGAGATAGATGTTAGCACTGACTGTTTTCTCTTTAGTAAGGATTTTTCAAGGTAATTTCAGGGCGATGGGTTGACACTGCCTATGACACACGTTAAAGCATGCACTTTCAGGGGAACTTGGCCTAAATAAAAGTAACAGAGCAGGTACTTTCCTAGTCACGGGGTAACCGGCCTGATAGTCACGGGGAGGTAGGTGCTGGGCCCTGCGTGGGGTAACCGGCCTGATCGTCACGGGGGAGGTGGGTGCTGGGCCCTGCCTGGGGTAACCAGCCTGCCTCTCCAGGGCGCCTGCAGGTCCCACCTGGTGCTAGAGGAGCCGAGCTCCGTGGTGCAGCTGGACTACAGCCAGAAGGTGCTGCTGGTGTCCACGGCGCAGCGCAGCCTGCTCTTTCTCACCGAGGAGCAGAGTGTGCGCCAGGTCGGCACCCAGCCCAGGAAGGGGTGAGTTCCCGCGAGCGCCTGCTGTCCCGAGCTGGACGTTCCCCAGGTGCCAGGGTCCCCGGCCTCCGAGGACGTTTGTCCCTTAGCCACTCTGCCAGCAGTGCCAGGGTCTGGGGTGGGGAGGGCGGGGAGCAGACGGGAAAGAGGTGAAGGGTTCCAGGCTGGGCTTGTCCCTCTGACCTGATGCCGGAAGGAAAAAGTGGCAAGAAGGATCAGGCCAAGTCCGCCTGCCTGCTGCGTGGGAGAAGGCAGCAGCAGCCCGGGGTGCCCAGCCCCTGGTAGGACTCTGTGCAGGGTGGGGAAGGGGGAGCTGAGGAGGGAGAGAGGGAAGGACAGAGGGAGGGAGAGGGTGGGGGAGCTGGAGGAGTACCCAGCAGAGGACTCAGGCTGGGGAAGATGGGGGCGGGGTGAGTGGGCAGTGGGCTGGCTTGCCAGCGCGGTGGAGCTGACAGGCGCTGGTGAGGGCCGGGGAGACTGGGCATGCTGGGCAGTGGGCAAGGGCGATGGTCAGCAGGAGCAGCTCAGGCCGGGAGGTGGGCACCCTTGAGCTGCCAGCTCCAGCCTCAGTTTCCTCTCTAACGGGGTTGCAGTATTTGCCTCGCAGGGTCGTGGGGGTGAAACGAGCAGCTAAAGCAGTGGGTGCGGTGACCTGGGAACAGGAGGTGCGCTCATGGCTGGGGATGGCGGTCCAGTTAACGAGGGAGACAGAAGAGGTTCTCAGAACGTCTTGTTTAGAGTTACCAAACGTGCCGGCTACAGTCAGCAGCAGCCATTGCTTTAAATCAGCCCGTGTCTTGTTTCTCTTTCCTTCCAGCACCGGGAAGTTTGGTGCTTGTTTTATCCCAGGACTTTGTAAGCAAAGCGACCTGACCTTGTACGCGTCCCGGCCAGGGCTCCGGCTGTGGAGGGCTGGCGTCCAGGGGACTGTGCAAGCCACGTTCCTCTTAAAAGACGTCTTCGCTGGGGGCGTCAAGCCCTTCGAGTTGTACCCGCGCCTGGACTCCTTCGACGCGGGAAGTGGCAGCTTCCCCGAGAGGCAGCTGGGGCTGGTTTCCTGCTTCTTCCGGGAAGGCTGGGTGCTGAGCTGGAATGAATACAGCGTTTACCTTCTAGACACCGTCAACCAGGTAGGTGGCGCCGCACCCGTCCCGGAGTCTCCAGGCTTCCCGGGCTGCCTCTGGTGCCGTACTTTCCCCCGGGCCAGGCAAGGAAATCCGGTGAAGGTTTATTTGTGTAGATTTGAAAAAACCCTTGGTCCTGCCCTTGCCAAGAAATTGTGGGGGGTTTTGCACTTAGGCACAAAATTAAATGTGTTCTGTCTGGGTCGTGTTTTCCGGACTGCCAGGGCTGAGGCATAAACGAAGGCAGCTTGGGAGGCATGACTCCCGAGGCCTCCCAGGCCGGCCCGAGCCACAGGCTCTCTCAGCTCCCCTCCTCCCGGTCCTCACCTGGTCCCTCTGCCCAGATGGAGACACATCGCTTGGCCATTTCTGTTTAAAACCATGGTGACAACAGACTATTACCATAGAGTCAGATATAGAAACTTGTAAAAAGACGTTTTAGTTTCTCCTTGTCTTACGAGCAGAGCTGTGAGGTCGCCAAGCGGGTCCCACAGGCAGGAGGCGCTCCGTGTCGCAGGGAGAGGGAGCAGGTGAGGACGGGGTCCAGAGAGCGGCCGGGAGGTGGGAGACTGCTCCCCAGACACGGAATGTACTGCTGAGGAGGGCGGCTCCAGGTCAGACCCGTCAGAATCACCTGACCACCTACGAGCTCAGGACACCCCCAACTTCCAGGAAGTTTCGGAGCAAAACCCAGCGCGCTTCCTCGGGTCCCAGTGCGTGCGGTGCTGCGCTCGGGCCCAGGAGGCAGTCTTGCCTGGGCGCTGACTTTGTTTTGTTTCTGGACAGGTGACAATTGCTGGTTTGGAAGGATCGGGTGATATCGTGTCCGTTTCCTGCACAGAAGATGAAATCTTTCTCTTAAAGGGAGACAGGAACATTATAAGAATTTCGAGCAGGCCGGAGGGACTAGCATCCACAGGTTTGTATTGGAAATACAGGTACTGTGTGTGAGCAGTGGCAGTTTTATTTATAACCCTGACCATTTCGCTAAATGATTGTGGCTTTATATAAACTAGGAAGGCATCTGGCAAGTTTCTTATGATTCTTAAAATACTGTTTACACCCCTGTTTTTTTTTTGTGTGTGTGTGTGTGTTTTTCATATATTTTATTGATTTTTTTACAGAGAGGTAGGGAGAGGGATAGAGAGCTAGAAACATCAATGAGAGAGAATCATCCATCAGCTGCCTTTTGCATACCCCTACTGGGGATGTGCCCTTAATCAATGTACATGCCCTTGACTGGAATCGAACCTGGGACCTTTCAGTCTGTAGGCCAACGCTCTATCCACTGAGCCAAACTGGCTTCGGCTATTGGGATATTTTGTGCAAGTTTTGTGAGTTCTCTGTACTTAGAGGCTGGTGTGCAGGGTGAGTTAGCATAAGAGCATGTGGACTTGGATAAGTGGCAGTAAAACGGAAGGAACTCTTCTTTCCAGCACGAGACAGCCTGGAGACGCCGGGATGCACAGAGCAAGTGCCCGCGCAGCACGCAGAGGGGCCGCCAGGGGCCACGGACCCCGAGCCGAGGCTCAGAGGCGCTTCCGTGGCCAGCTCCGTGGCCAGCGAGCCGAGGAGCAGGAGCAGCTCGCTCAACTCCACCGACAGCGGCTCCGGGCCCCCGGCGGCCCTGGAGCTGGGCAGGGGCAGCCAGCCCGCCGCGCAGAGGTTCAGTGTCATCAGCTCGGAGGACTTCGACCGGGAGCTCGTTGTGAAGCCGCTCAAAGTGAAGAAGAGGAGGAAGAAGCAGGCAGGTACGTCTGCGGGGGCACGCGCTGGCGCCTCTCCCGGGGCCTTGGTGCTGCACGCTGGGGGCATTGGACCCTCGGGAGCGTCGCCGTGAGGGTGAATAGGAGTGCCCGCCTGTGTGCAGAGCGCCCTCCTCCCGGGGGTCTGTGCTCCTCGGTATTTAGATAAAGTCTGGTTTGCTCAGGCCTACCGTTGGCCAAAGGCATTGGGAACCTCGCTGCTAGGGCAGGAGACAAAGTTGCGCCGTGTCTAGATGGACCCTTACGTGCCGTCGGGGGTGGCGCTACCAGATACGGGGTTTAACACGGCTTACTGCAGCTTCGTGCCTCTCAGCTCACGGCCCTTGCAGTACTGAAGGAAGTCTTACCAGAGTCCTAAGCGCTTTAATAACTTCTGGAAGTGGGTCTGTGGCTCATTTATTCCTCGTCTTTGTGAGGGAGCCTCAGAGCACATTGCGTGTAGGATGTTTGCATCCATTCAAACATCCCTGAGTTGGCATAATTTGTACTTGAGAGGTTTGTTCTTTGCCAGTTTAAAATGTATTTTTCATTTATTTAAAACATTTTTTTTGCCAAAGCCTGTTTGGCTCAGTGGTAGAGCGTCGGTCTGCGGACTGAAAGGTCCCAGGTTCGATTCCTGTCAAGGGCATGTACATTGGTTGTGGGCACATCCCCAGAAGGGGGTGTGCAAGAGGCAGCTGGTCGATGTTTCTCTCTCATCGACATTTCTAGCTCTCTCCCTTCCTCTCTGTAAAAAATCAATAAAATATATTTTTTTAAAAACATTTTTTTCTTTACTTAAAATGTATTTTTTCTTAAGCCAAAACTCATTTAGAGGAAGAGAGAGAAGTGTTGTCCCACTTACATATGCATCACTGATGGCTTCTTATGTGCGCCCTGACCCGGGTCAAGACCACAGCCTTGGCGTGTTGAGGATGATGCTCTACCAGTGGCCAGCAGATACCAACAGAGGCAAATATCAACAGCACAACGATAGAAATTTCTTTTGAGAGCCAAGTTTTTAAACTTAAACTTCTTATAATGCCACTTCAAAATAGACTCACCCAGGCCACGGTATTTTGTGGAAGAGCCACACTCAAGGGGCCAAAGAGCCTCATATGGCTCGCAAGCCGCAGTTTGCCGACCACGGCTCTGACCAACTGAGCTACCTGGCCAGGGTCTTAAAGTTCTGGTTTTTGGTTCATGTCTCTATGGAGAACCACACCTCACTTTAAACATTCTTACTTTAAATTAGAAGGTGGAAGCCGGAACGCCTGGCACAGTTCCCTTGAATCGACTCCCTGCTGTGAATTTCCTGGTGACAGTCCCCAGTCCTTGAACGCAGACCTGCTGTCCACGGCCTCAAGCTTGGGCAGCATGGTGGACCGGCTGAGCACAGAGTCTCCCGACTGGGACAGCAGCCTCAGCGGTGAGGTGGACGGTGTCCAGCGGGAGGACCACAACCCTGAGGCTTTCAGTGTGCTGGAGGCGCCCGAGCCCGCCCCTGACTCACTCAGCGAAGAGGACAGGATGGAGCTCCCGCGATGGAGCCCGGCAGGCGAGGTGGAGCTGCATGGCGGGGGGCTGTGCTTACCCCGTCACCCGCCGGGAGACGCGGAAGGTGGCGAGGTCACAGAGCTCGAGGGAGAGCCTCGCCCTGCAGACGATGGACCCGGTAGCAGACAGTCACCTGGCCAAGACCAGGACAGCCCTGCTGAGGCCCAGGCCGCGGGGGGCTGGGAGCCTGAGGACCCCCAGTGCACGTTGCCTGAAGCCTCCCTCCTGGACCTGCCCCCCGTGCCTTCCAGCCCTAGCGGGGTCCCCGGTGCCGAGGGCAGGCTGCCGGAGACCAGAGCGGACCAAGGCAGCGTCCAGGAGAGCGGCCACCTCGGTGCCGCTCCCTGGCGCACTGGCGCTGATGAGGACTCGGGCCTGAGAGCAGTGGGTGCTTCCGAGCGTGACCTGGGGAGTGTGGGCGGACGGCTGACCCCTCCCGTCTGTGCCTTGGCGGCCGGCGCCCAGGACCCTCGCCCCGAGCATTCCCCGCGGGATCAGGTTCTGACGTCCAGTGACGAGGAGGACATCTATGCCCCCGGGCTGCCCTCTTCGTCCTCGGAGACGAGTGTGGCGGAGCTGGGAGGCGGCCGCTCCCTACAGGACCTGAGCCCGCCGGCCGGCGACGACACCGGGCTGCTGAGGTCAGAGCAGGTATGTGGGCTGCTGTCCTTAGGGACGTCGGCGGCGACCCGTGTTCCTTTTACGGAAAGAGATTCTGTTTCTGCTGCAAACCTGCGGGCAGGGGTTTGGGTCTGGGTTGGGGCATCTCCGGTGCCGGGCCCGCGGATGGCCTGGATTCGTGCCGACCCGTGTCCCTGCTCAGAAACCCGCCTCCCCGCAGGCGCAGCGTCCTGCAGCACCGGCACTGGTTCTGGTCGCCTCGGGGAGGCCTGACTCGGCCTGGCCATTCCGGACCCCAGCGGGCAGAGGGCCAGCCCTGGCGGTGGAAAGGGCTCTGAGAGGTGGGAGGCAGGCACTGTCCTCGCCGCCCCCTCAGGCGCGCCCACAGCACCAGCTGCAGGAACCTGGCCCTTCCCGGCACTGGCTGCCCGGATGGCAGTACTGGCGCCAAGGCTCCCGCAGGCCGGGTCCGGTGCCTGTGGGCTCCCAGCCCACGCAGCCAGGTGACAACTTGAACAGTCCTTGGTCATTTATATAAAAAGTGCTTTTTAATTACATCCCTTAGCAAGAAATTACTATTAAAGGAGATTGGTTTCGGAATGGCCTGTGTGCTGTAACTTTCCCTCCTGAGGGGGTGTGAGTGGGTGTGAGTGTGAGCTGCAGCCACCTACCTGTGCTTTCCCTGCACATCCCGCCCGGTTCTCGGCGCTGGTACTGGTGCCATCTGGGCAGGCACCAGGCCAGGCACTCGCAAGCTATCGCATTACTTCTCCAAAACAAAGCAAGCCAGGGGATAGGCACTGCTGTCCCCCTTTCCAAAGAAGGGAGCTGAGCCTGGGACAGTTGGATGGCTCACACTGAACAAGTGAAGGGCCAGGCTGGCCCCAGACCTCCCTCCACCCCCAACCTCCGCTGTGCCGTCCCGAAAGTGGCACGCACAGCTTACTTGTCCTGGGACGAAGTGCCAGGGAACTGGCCTGTGTCTGTGCTGAGGGCCTCAGCCGCTGGGCAGTTTGGAGCCGGGGATGCTGCAGTGCATGTGACAGCAAGAGGCGTCGCCAGGTGGCCAAGGTGGGGGCAGGCGCGGGGACTCCAGGCCAGAGCTTAGCGAAGTCCTTCCCCAGAGGAAAGGGCGCTGGCCCCCTGAGGACCTTCCTCCTGCCTCCGTGCCCCCAGGAAAGCCTTAGTCCTCAGGTCCACCGCAGAGCGTCCTGGCCAGGTTCCCACGAGCCTCACCGTGCCTTGGCGTGAGGACTGGAACAGTGATTGAACATGTGGTCACACACACAGCGGCTGGGGTGGGTGGGGAGAGAGTAACTAGAGAACTTGCTATATGCACAGCCCATGGAGTGGGGGCGGGGTGGGCTAGAAGGGGTCAGTGTGGGGAAATGGGGAAATCTGTAATGCTTTCAACAATAAATATTTTTAAAATTGATTAAAACACACAATAGAGATAGTGGCGGAGCTGCTTCTGCTGATGTCGGTGGTGAGGTGACGTACAGACACGTGTCTGTAAGGTGGGCTGTCCTGTGGGACAGAGCCGGGTCAGGAAGGACGCAGAGCACAGCAGTGCTGCCAGGGATGGCACCGCAGAGCAGACGCAGCGTGTCCTCTGCACAAACACCGGCCGGCTCCCCTGAACCTCCCCGCTCTCCTCAGTTTGCAGAAAGCTGGATGGGCTACTCGGGCCCCGGCCACGGCGTCCTCAGCCTGGGCGTCTCCGAGAAGCACGTCTGGTGCCTGGACTACAGAGGCGGCCTGTTCTGCAGTGCGCTGCGGGGGGCCGGGCTGCGCTGGCAGAAGTTTGAAGATGCCGTCCAGCAGGTGGCAGTCTCGCCCTCAGGTTCGCCCTTTCCGCTGTGCCCCAGGGTCACGCCCTCGCTGGAGGTCCCTGCTGCCCATTCACAGACAGCGGCTCCCCGCCCTCCCCCTTCCCGCCTCCCGCGAGAGGAGGGCTTTTCTCCAGGCAGATCGCTTCGTTTGCTGTCCGTTCAGCAGTGTCAGTGGATGTTCAGTCAGAGTTTTTTGTTTTTTTATTTTAATTGCAGTGGTACACATGAGCTTTTTGTAGGCTATACAAATAGCTTGAGTTTTGAGGATATAGAGGGAGAGGTAACATGCTCCTTGAGAAATAAAATGCACTTTTCTTAGTGTCACTTTAAAGCAACTGAACTAAGGAAGATGGGTCTATGCACAAGTTGGATACGTTCAGACTATTTGGTTTCCTTTTTAGAAATCACTTTTAAATGCGCTAGATACACACAGCTCCCTGACTGTAGGAGGGAAAAGCATCCATTGAAAAAGCCACCGTCCGGCCACTTACCTACCAGAGCAGCGGTCCCTGAGCGAGGAGCCACTGGGCTGCAGTCCCTGCTGTCTCTAGTCCTGTGTCTCCCACCTCACCTGTCGGGGCGGGCGGGCAGGACATGTTCCTGTGTCTGTCGGTGGTGCCTGGTTTGTCCCTAGGAAGCCGAGGGAAGTCCTGCTAGAGTGCGTCTCTGACCTTGGACTGTCCTCTGTGACTTTGCAATGGATTCCCTCGACTCCCCCCGGGCTTTGTCACTGTTTAACATGCCAGCTGGTCAGGGTGGTCTCCCCTCGCCACTGAGGAGGAAGGCCGCCCCGTTTACTGTGACGAGTGCCCATGCTGTGTGGTGTATGGTCTCCATTTCACAGAGGAGGTCAGACTGGCCACACTGTGACGGGCCCCCCGAAGCCGGCAGGTGGGGGCCCAGATTCAAACCTGGGGCGGCATGTCCCCGTGACTGACGGCGCTCTCTGCAGGAGCGCTCCTCTGGAAGATCGAGCAGAAGTCTAACCGGGCTTTTGCTTGTGGCAAAGTGACCATCAAGGGCAAGCGGCACTGGTACGAGGCGCTGCCGCAGGCCATGTTCGTGGCTCTGAGTGAGGACGCCGCCTGGGCCATCAGGACCAACGGAGACCTGTACCTGCAGACAGGTAGGGCCTGCTTCGTGGGCGCCATCGGAGGGAACGCCGCTTAAATGAACGCTTCTAGAGAGAGCGCTTGCCATTGCACATATTAGCTGTTTCCTGCTGCTGATTCACATTCAGCCAGGACTCGTTTAGGGCAAGAGCTAAGGGACGGGGTTTAGTGAGGAACAGAAGCAACCTTAGTCTCCCTCCTGGTGGCCAGTGTGCGTCACTCCCCCTAGGGCCGCTCTGAGAGAAGTGCGCGGGCACCCTTCCCACGACTGTGCCCGGCCATCTCAGCCAGCCCGGCCGCTTCTCGGCGCACTCACATGGAGGTCAGGGAGAACGGGAACAGTCTGCTCCTGATAGAGTTCAAGGAAGCTGCCCTGAGGGGAACCTGAGCTGTTGGAGGCGACACGGGGCTTGTTTACTCAGAGGAGACTGAGAGAGTCCATGTCCTGTGCTGTTACAGAGCGGGGGAGGGGGTCCCACAGCAGTGATTCACAGGACGGGTGGATTGGGCGGGAACTCTTCTTCCTGTTGTTGTTCATCCTCACCCAAGGATATTTTTCCTTGATTTTTAGAGAGAGTGGAGGGAGGGAAAGAGAGAGCATCGATTGGTTGCTTCCTGCATGGGCCCCAACCCTGAGCCTAGGAATCTGCAACCCAGGTATGTGCCCTTGACTGGAAATTGAACCCGGGACTGCAGGCAGATGCTCTAACCACTGAGCAACCAGCCAGATCCAGGAGCTCTTTTCTGGTTGTCAAGAGACCATCTTGGATTTCCGTAAAGATTAATCTTCTAAACCAGCAGTATTGCTGGTGCCAAATGTTGTGATCTCTCTTCCGAACTACCGGGGCTGATGCTGGAGAGTCAGAGCCCAGCGGGGAGGGCCAGCCCGTCCCAGAAGCCTGCTGGAGTCCTGGGGAAGCTCGGCAGCTCCTGGGTCACCCTGGTCTCTGGCCTACTTCTGTGTCTCCTTCCCGTGGAAATAGCTCTGGGCCATTTGAGTCTTGTTCTCGGTGGGGAAACGGGTGCTCCTGCCTGGGGCCAGGAGCGGGTGGTCTCTAACAGCAGTGCCAAGGAGTCTCCAGGGCAGGGTTTCACCCGCCCCTGCTCCACCCAGACCTCCGGGGGCAGTCTCGGGCCGCCCCGGGATTTGTAGGCTCAGGTCGCCAGAGTGGTGAGGGGTTACGAATTTATCAAATCATCTGCACCCCGGGGGCACCCCGGGTGGCTGAGCCCGGTGCGAGTCAGCGGCTCTTAAAGGACTTTTGGCGGGATTTCTCTGGGCGGAGACTCCTGAATGCACACCGGAGGGGAGAGAATGGAATTGGTCACCGCAGGTGGAAAGTGGTCTCAGCAAAGGGACTGTCCTCAGTGAAATGACCTGAAAAGCCAGTTCCGGGGGAAGGGTATCAACTGCTCCATCCAGCCTAACATGCCGCCTCTGGCTTATGGGACAGGGACGAAGGTCATCCTGATTGCTTCCTGCTGAGTCTGGACGTGGAGATCACAGGGGGTTGGACTTGGACAGTAGTGGGCTGGGCGGGGGCGCAGCAGCATGATTTCCCCAAGAGACTGCTTGGTGAAGTCTTGAGAGCGATCCTGTTGAGTCACTTGGGAGGTAAAAGCTGGTCCTGAGGCTGCCACGGCGTCACTTGTCTGGTTTTGCTGCTTTTCTAGGCCTGGAGCTGAAATACAACTCAGACCCTAGCTGTTATTTTTAGGGGGGAAAAAGGAGGGGTCTCAGTGACCTCACTAATGATATGAAAGGGGAGAGTAGGTTACCTGGGCATGAGGTTCTTTTCCCAGTTTTGTCCCTTGCTGGGCATCCCATGTTTCTTGTAGGTCCTGAGACAGACACGGTTTCAAAATAGGTAGAGCAGTGGCTGAGCCCCTCGGTGTGCAGATGATCGAATAAATTCGTAATCCCTCACCACTCTGGCCTCGTGCGTGCCTCCTTGGGCGGCGACAGTAGGGAGAGAAGTCCTGCAGGCGATCCCCACCTAGTCTGTGAGAGCAAGCACACCGAGGCCTGCGGCTGTGCAAGCTGGGGGTGATCTGTTGGGAGCACACTGAAGACCACAGCATACGGGATTTCAGTTCTGCCAGCTCCCCTGAGGCCTGCTGGCTCTCTGGGCAGAGGGTGCCAGGAGGCAGGACAGGAGCCATGTGGGCATTCAGGGGCTGGGGCTGGTGCTGCCCAGCAATGGGCCGTGCTGTTCCCTGAGGACACCCAGGGTTTTCATTTAACATTGAAACTCTGGGTGTCCATTTGCTCTGTGGGAGCAGAGCAGGCTGACAAGATGGAGCCAGAGGCTGGCATCCTCTGGTCCAGGCGTCGCCAGCTCTGAGTTGTCATTCCTGGCTTCCCACAGCATCTGAAAATGCTGCACCTGATGTTACATTTAAGCACAATTTACTATGTATGTTGGCAAGACCTGTTTTCCCTTTTTTTTTTTTTTTTTTTTAATGTATTTTATTGATTTTGTACAGATAGGAAGGGAGAGAGATAGATAGATAGAAACATCGATGAGAGAGTCATCGATCAGCTGCCTCTTGCACACACACTACTGGGGATATGCCCGCAACCAAGGTACATGCCCTTGACCGGAATCGAACCCGGAACCCTTCAGTCCCCAAGCCGACGCTCTATCCATTGAGCCAAACCGGTTTCGGCTGTTTTCCCTTTTGTATTGCACTTATTGGGGTGACATTGGTTAATAAAATTATATAGGTTTTGGGTACTATTCTGTATTACATCATCTGAATATCATATTGTGTGTTAACCATCCAAAATCAATCTCCTTCTGTCACCATTCATCCCCCATTTACCCTCTTCTACCTCCCCCGTCTCCCTGCTCTCTGGTAACTGACTAAACCTTTTATTTTATTTTATTTTATTTTATTTTTAATCCTCACCTGAGATTTTTTTTGTTGGTTTTAGAGAGAGAAACATCAATGCGAGAGAGAAACCGAACAGTTGCCTCCATACACACCCCCACAAGGGTTTGAACCTGCAACCTTCCTGTGTGTGGGATGATGCTCCAACCAACCGAGCCACCCAGCCAGGGGCTGACTAGATCTTTTAGAAAGCATTTACTACAGAGGAATATAGCAAAGTATCAAAAAGGAAAGTAAGTCCACAGAACAACAGTGAGGTGTGACATCCTGATTGTGTGGGGGCTTCCTGTCCATCTCCGCAGGGCTCAGCGTGGACCGCCCCTGCGCCAGAGCCATCAAGGTGGACTGCCCGTACCCCCTGTCCCAGGTGACAGCCCGGAGCAGCGTGGTGTGGGCGCTGACGGAGCAGAGAGCCCTCCTGTACCGGGAGGGCGTGAGCAGCTTCTGTCCTGAGGGCGAGCAGTGGAAGTGTGACATCGTCAGGTAGGCAGCTCCTGCCTGTCCCTCCTCTGGTCCGTCAGCAAGCACCCTCAGGCGTCCAGGGAGCCTTCCGGGGAAGAGCTGGCTCCCTGAGGGTTTCCAGGGCAATGCTGCTCTCTGCGTTGTCAGAACCGATTTGAGCAGCCCGACCTCGGAGACACTGTCCACCTCTGAGGGCGCTGATGTTGGGTCAGACCCCCCAGGAGCCTCTGCGGGCACGCCTGGACCCACTGGGGCTTCGCCTGGATGCTGACTCCATGTCCTCAGCGTTTTCAGTGCTGCTGCCTCCTGTGCAGCCGAGCCTCGCCTGCCCGCCCCCTGGCTCAGGACGCCTCTGTCAGAACTGCCCAGCGTCAGGGCTTCTCTCTAGAATCCCAGATACTGTAGAGCCAAATTGTTTTCTTCATTATCCTCCTAGTCCATTGAAATTGGCCTCGGAATTGTAATTTACTTGGTTACATTATGCCATTCAAAATTTTAATTAAGAATTACTGTCACATCATTTTGCTAATGTACAATTATTAATAGCCCTTAGAAAATTAGATTAGGATATTGGTTTGCAGTTAGTAACCCACGAAACTTGAGCAAGTACCATCGTAACTGCTGGGCTGGGTGTGCGAAGACCACGGGGCCTGCCCTGCCTCGGAGCTCCGGGGAGAGAAAACTGACGCACCGGTTAGTGCCAATGCTCCGAACCACGGGCGCAGCAAGCACGGGCGCCGGGCTCCACAGCTGAGCCTGGAGGATGGCACCAGATGCCCAGAGAGCGGCGTCTGCCCAGCTGCAGCTGCCCGGCACTGCCTGGCACCCAGTGAGGGGACAGGGCGGTGGCAGCCTGGCGGCCTGACTCCTGCTAGGCCTTTGCCACTCAGTTCTTAGGTTACTTTCTTGGAGAGCTTCTGCCATTCCGGTCTTCCTGTGCTTTTCCGCAGCCGCGATGCAGTTGAACAATTGGCCTTTTGTCAATTGTTCACGATGCAACGATGCAGTTGACAGTGACTTCACTCAGTGCAGCTTCCCTCCTTGGATCTTGTGGCGGGGGTGTTCTCCCAGGCTGACCCCCAGGAGCCTCTGCTGGCACGCCTAGGCCCCCTGGGCTTCGCCTGGCTGCTGACTCCACATCCTCCTCCGTTTCAGTGAGAGGCAGGCCTTGGAGCCTGTGTGCGTGACGCTCGGGGACCAGCAGACGCTGTGGGCGCTGGACATCCACGGGACCCTGTGGTTCAGGACCGGCATCGTCCCCAAGAAGCCCCAAGGGGAGGACGACCATTGGTGGCAAGTGGGTGTTCTGGTTGGGCCCGAGGTCCCCTGTAAGGGGGAGCAGCCCCTCTCTTTTCCCTAAAGAAATGGGGGAGGGGGGGTAAATAACCATACTGAGTCAGACTGCCGGATCCCAGCGCATTGGAAGCACCAAGACCTCCCATCCAGGAGGTGCTCAGCGCGCAGGTGCAAGCGGCTTAGGATCTGCTTCACGTTAACCCGTGACATCCATTCGGAGGCCTGGGTGGTGATGATGTTTAACTCTGACAGACGCGCTAGGAAAAGAGACAGACAATGGGTTTGGAAAACCCGACCCACAATGCCAGCCCCTCTCTCTCTTCGGAGGTCCTCTGAGCAGGAGGCACTTCACCAGGGGAGTCCCCGCGACACCCAAAGGGAGGACTTTGGGGAAGGGGGGTCAGCCACCTCTCGTGACTTGGTGCCAACCGGGGTGGCTGGAAAGTTGTCAGAGGAGTGGTGCCCCTGAGTGCGGGGTCTCCCGGCAGCTAAGGCCGCGCTGCCCCCGCGGCTGTGAAACACGCGGTGAGTCTTCAGCGTGGGCTCCGCCGCCACAGCTCTCCCTGTCGCCTCAGCTCGCCGCGTGGCTCGCAGGTCCCTGAGGAAACCTAGCGGGACACCACCGAGCTGCTGTCAGGCCCTGGGAAGGCAGTGTGTTCGCTCTTCGGTGAACGTGGGTGTGTGTGTGTGTGTGTGTGTGTGTGTGACATGCGCCCTGATTTACATGCCGGTGCCACGCGCAGAGTTACAGACTTTAAAACACCTTCTCGGTGCTCGTCACCGCGTCATAGGGTTTTACACACGCGCGTGAGCTCGCACACACTCACCTGCATGTGCAGACTAAGTTCCGTGGTTAAGTCGCCAAGGGCAGAGCAGATGCGCTTTGCCTAGTGCTCAGAGCTCTACCTTAGAGAGGCTAACGGCAGCGGCCCCTGAAGGTGGCTCTTTGTGGCAGGAGAGCGCCTGCTTGGCTGCCAGACTCCATTTCCTCTGCGCCCTCCTGCTCACAGCGGTCCTGGTGCGGGGCTCCCTGTCCCAGGCCGGGGTGCCGTGGCGAGGCACACACCGGAAAGCAGGCTCCCTGCGTGGTCCCAGCGCTGGCATGTGTAGGCCCCAAACTCTGAGGGCTCCGGGTGAGAGCAGGCCCCTCGGGAGGCGCCCGGAAAAGCACCTTCAGGTCACGTGAGAGAAGCAGGGCCCAGCATCTGAGCCAGGTGCTGCCCACAGTCCGAGACGGGGCTTCAGGCTGTTGGCCTGGCATAAGGAATAACGGTCCTGGTTCAGATAATAAATTGTTACTTACAATGCCTTTTTACGGCTCATTATTGTATAGTCTTGGTATTGTACATGCTGTCCATGAGAAATACCTGAATTTAAAAACAAAGCAATTCTGCTGAAACCGGTTTGGCTCAGTGGATAGAGAGTTGGTCTGCGGACTGAAAGGTCCCAGTTCGATTCCGGTCAAGGGTATGTAAATTGGTTGCGGGCACATCCCCGGTAGGGGCTGTGCAAGAGGCAGCTGGTCGATGTTTCTCTCTCATCAACATTTCTAGCTCTCTATCTCTCTTCCTTCCTCTCTGTAAAAAATAAATAGTAATATATTTTAAAAAAATAAAATGAAAACAAAGCAATTCTCACTAACCAGAACAGAGTCTTAGAGGTGAGGGGATGATGTTCGGTCACAGGCTTGTAGCAGATCCACATGAGGAAGCGTGTATAAAAGGTGGCTGTCCACCTCCCACCCCCACCCCCACCCCCGGGTCCTGACAGCAGTTGGGTGGTGTCCTGCTGGACTTCCCTCAGCCCTCACTACACGCATGTGCCCTCACTACATGCATGCGCACTGGGCCACACCTCCCGCTCCGCAGAGGATCGTCCTGACGGCGTGTCTGCCCTCCCGCAGGTGAGCATCACGGACTACGTGGTGTTCGACCAGTGCAGCCTGTTCCAGACCATCATGCACGCCACGCACTCGGTGGCCACGGCGGCCCAAGTGCCCGTGGAGAAGGTGGCGGACAGGCTGCGCACGGCCTTCTGGTCTCAGCAGCTCCAGTGCCAGCCCAGCCTGCTGGGGGTGAACAGCAGCGGCGTCTGGATCTCCTCGGGCAAGAACGAGCTCCACGTCGCCAAGGGCAGCCTCATCGGTGGGTCACTGCTTCCGCTCCACGCGGCTCAGTAGGCAGCTCAGACCGGAAGGGGCAGCGTTGAGAGGAAAGCTTCGCGCGGCCTGCGAGGGACGTGGGCCAGAGGAGTGTGGGGACAGGCGTCCTCGTGCTTGTCCGTTTCCCTTCCTCCTCTGTTGGTGCTGCACTTGGACCCAGCTCTGACGCGCGATCAGTCTCCCTGGGGACCAGTTATGATAGAAAGCCAATGGAGCTCCGTTTTACACTAATAATTCCACATTTCAATAAAAAACTCACCCAAACCTGAAGAGCCTAGGAAGAGAGAATAGTCCATGTCCTGGAGGAAGGCTGTCACGCTGTTGAAAACGCCAGGCTGTAGCCAGACCTGTAATGCGGTGCCAGCCCACACGCACCGTCCTTTCTGTAAACGCACCCTGCTTTGTGGCAGGACGGTGGCTCTGCTTGCCGGTGTCCACAGAGGGCCAGCGGCCGGCCCTCGAGTGTTGCTCGGCCCTCCACGGAAGGCAGGCTGGAACCAGCCTGAGCTGCGGGGGCCGGCTGTGGTAGAGCCACGCTCTGGGTGTGTTTACTATTTCCTTCTTTAACGCCTGCTTCTGTTTCCCTCCCCAGGCACGTACTGGCATAACGTTGTTCCCCGCGGGACAGCGTCCGCAACCAAGTGGGCCTTCGTGCTGGCCTCCCCGGCCCCCACGAAGGAAGGTCGGTGGAGAGCACAGGCAGGCGTGGCCGTGGCACAGTTAAAGCCACCCTCTGCATGTGGCCTTGCTGGGGTGGGGGTGGGGGGGTGGCTGGGTGGACCTCAGACACGGTGGGGTCATGTCACAGGCCAGTGGCCCTTGTGGGCTGAGCCGAGGGCCCCTGGGGCTGGGCCCACCTGACCAGGAGAGAGGGATCCAGAGCAGTGAAGCTGAGTGAGTCTAATGACAGCGCGTCCTGAGGAGGGGCATACAGTGTAGCTGCCAGGGCTGGCAGCGTGACTCGCAGCCTCTCCCCAGGCCATGGCACCGCAGCCAGGGGGCACCAGCTTCTTGGGCACCTTCCCGTTTCCTCTTGGGAATTCCAGCATCGGGCTGGGAGCCAGGAGCAGCAGCGTGGGGGCCTGAGCACTCTGTGATCCCTCTGCGGTGCCGCCTCCCAGGGTGGCACGGGGTCGTGCAGCCTGGTTCAAGGGAAGAAGCCAGTTAATTCAAGCCTCAGCACCACTGGGAAGTGGGTAACGTGGTCAGAGCAGTAGCATGCCTTCTCCCCGGTCGCTCTGACCACAGTGCTGAAAGCGGCAAGCTCTGAGGCCTAGGCTAGCTCCGAGTTGGCAGCAAACCCTGCCCTGGTCCGCCAAGACCTGCCCAGGCCCCGTCACACTGGCCATGGCTGCGCACGCTACTGACACGTGTGCTGCAGCAGTGTTACTGCTCACTAGGCGCTGCTGGGCTGGGCCAAGGTATTGCTCTAGCCTTCAAAACCAAAGGATTAGGTGGCATTTAGATGACACATTGGCCCAGGTTTTAACTCGCCTGAGGGTTCTGTGCATTGTAAGCTGAACCTTCTGCACCTAAGGATCTGAACGTGGTGGAGGGGCGGGAAGGGAAGAGAAGGGAAGGCTTTCCAGCTTTCGCACGGGCCCAGCCCCGCCCCCTGCAGAGCAGCGGCCCCTGATTCTGTGCTTCTGAGGCCCTCTGACCCCACGGCCTCCAGAGCGCGTGTTCATCATAGCACGACCCGGTCAGAGCCCCTCGGCCAACATCGTAGGCTTCTTTCACTTCTTCAGAGTACCTCGGGCGTGTCTCTTATCAGTCGTGGTGTGCCCTCCGACGCTGCCTTAGAGCGCACGGAGCTTCTGTCACACGGTGGCGAGGGAGCCGTGGGTGTCAGCTGCCAGAGGCATGGCCCTTTCATCAGTAAACCCTCCTCTCCCCCCCCCCACTCTCCGCAGGCAGCGCCTTGTGGCTGTGCCAGGGCAGCAAGGACCTGTGCAGCGTGGGCGCCCAGCACGCACAGTCCCGCCCGTCCACCGTGCAGCTGCCTCCCGACACCGAGATGCGGGCCTACGCCGCCTGCCAGGACGCCCTGTGGGCACTGGACAGCCTGGGCCAGGTGTTCATCAGGACGCTGTCCGCCAGCTGCCCCACCGGCCTGCACTGGACCCGGCTGGACCTCGCCCAGCTAGGTACGCGCCTGCGCTGTGAGGGCCTCCGGCTCCACTTGGGAAACTCTAGTCTGAGGCTTTGTAAGTGCTGGGTTCCAGGAGCTGACTAGCTGCTCTTGCAGATGGATGGCTTCTTGGTTTTGTGGGAGCTTCATTTCCCACCTTGGGTTGGGGGTTTTCAGAACTTGGGAGGAGCGGACTCAGAGGAAGTTGGTGCCACTGCCTCTGCCAGTCCGTCTGCAGGTGGCAGCTGCATCGTGCTTTACAGCCTGGAAAAGGGCGAGTCCTATGCCAGGATCAGTGACCCGTTGACCGTCTCCTCCCGGAGACTAGCTGCTCAGCTGGCGAGGCTGGTGCTCAGGCAGACGGAGCCACGTGCTGCTCACTGCTCTCCCCGAGTCTCCTCGGGTTGCAGGGCGGCCACACAGCAGGCGCCTGTGATAAATCATTCATTCCGTTCCAAGAGACAAGGTAATAGGATGAGCCCAAACGTTAGGTTATTCAGGCAAATTCCCGATTGACTGGCAGCCTCGGTGTGGCTGCTCCAGAGGGGCTAGGTGGGCCCTGCCATGCTCTGCCGCACGGTTTCTGGCCAGCGGGCACCGGCGTTGTCTGTACTGCATTGATGTTGGAGGGTCAGCCACACGGCCTCCTCACGGGAGGAGGAAGGGCAGGGAGGGCTGTGTCTCCTGGTGCAGGGGCCGCTCGCCACCCTCAGGCCTCGGCCCAGGAGGCTCCACAGGTGCCGTGTGGAGATCCTTGTCTGTTGTCCAGCAAGCCCATGTGCAGCTCACTGCAGCCTCAGGCGGCCTCCGCTACCAGCCTGCCCTGTCCAGAGCTGCCATTGCCCAGGCTCATGTTTGTGTTCATTAACCCTCACCCGAGGGATAGTTCCTTGATTTTCAGAGAGAGACGTAGATGGGAGCGGCACATCCATTGGTTGCCTCCCGTAGGAGCCTGACTAGGGCCAGGACCGAGCCTGCATCCCAGGTACATGTCCTCACACTGTCCTTTGGACCTAATCCCAGCACCTGGGCCGCTGTTCCACTTTTGAGAGTTTGTCAGCCGCTGCTACTGATGGCCGTGGCCCTTCTGCCTGCAAACTCATCGTTGACAAACCCATGCCTGCATGCAGCCCAGCCTGGCGTCTGTCACACGGCAGGTGGGCCTGGCAAGCCACTGGCTTCCTCTAAACCCAGGTCCTCACCTTCCTCGGGACAGCAGGCCTCCTCGGAGAGATAGGGGCAGGTGCACCCCGTGGAAATGGGAGTGGCCTCAGAGATGGGCTGCCCCTGCTCGCAGTCCTAGTGTCCTGACCTTGAGAACATTAAATGGAAGGCTGTCTTCCCGGTGCCGATCATGGGAGCTGGGCTCCCTTGTGCCGGTGTTGACCTCGGGCTGTGCCAGGTCATTGTGAAGTCTGCAATGTCACTGGTCTTCTCCATGCGGCACACACAAGTTGCAGTTTTAAGGACGTGGGTTGCAGGTCCGTCCATCTGTCAGAGCTGATTGACTGGGCGTGAGGCTGCTCTCTGGATGTGCTTTCCCAGGGGCCAAGGTCGCCGGTGTGGGGTCAGGCCAGCCTGGCTTCACCTCAGGTCACCTCAGCCTCCTGACTCAGCCACCAGGAGGACCTGGGCTCATGTCTCCATGTCTGGTCCCGATGGCCTCACGTGGACACCGATGCCTGGCTGCAAGCCCGCACCCAACAGCTGTTGGTGATTGCCAGACTGTCAATCAAACGTGGTTTCTCTGTAGAGGCTCCTCCTACATCCCTACCTTGCTTCAGTTAACCTACAAGGAGAAATGGGAGCAGAAGTGAAGGTTCAGAGGCTGCGCTCCCCTCCACCAGCGGGGCTAGCAGTGGAGATGAGCATCCTCTCCTTCGTCCCTTTGGCTGTTGCTCATAATAGTCCATCTGAGGGCGCTACCGATAGGCCCGCGTGGAGTGACTGGTCCCTGCGCTCCAGGGCTCGTGGCTCCGGCTGACGGCATCAGGCGACCTCGCTCTGGAACAGAGGGGCTGCTGGGTGGCGCCTGGCGGGTGGTCTCGGTCACGCTCCTCATCTCTTCCTTTGCAAAACGAAGTTGAAGTTGAGAGTGGGTGAAAGAGGAGTCATTGTGCAAAAGTATCTCGTGTGTGTGTTCCTTGTGCCCAGGGGCTGTAAAACTGACGAGCTTGGCGTGTGGAAACCAGCACGTGTGGGCCTGTGATTCCAGGGGTGGCGTGTACTTCCGAGTGGGCACCCAGCCTCTGAACCCCAGTCTCATGCTTCCGGCCTGGATAGCGATCGAGCCGCCCGTCCAGGTAAGCTCGAGGGGACCGCCGCCAGCATGCCCCTGAGGGACAGGCGTTGCCGGCGGCTGTGGGAGGCGCCTCGCTGCTGCGGTGGGCCTCCCACCACGGGCAGGCCTGTCGGGGATCACGGCGGCCCCATCCCGTGGCCTCCCAAACTCGGGCTTTTACACAATGAGCATGTTTAAAGCCTGTGTCCAGGCGTGCAGAGAAGAAAGTAAAAGTCACTGAAAATGGCGCCTGGAGGTAATGTGTTGGAAGCGGCCCTTGGTGAGGGTGAGGGTGAGGGTGAGGTTAGGGTTAGGCTCACTCAGAAATCCGCTCCCATCCCCGCACCCGCTCTCGTCTGCAGCATGTCCTCAGTGACTGGCTTTGGCCGGGGTGTCCGGCCGCGGGGGCAGAAGCAGGTCTGACTCCAGGGGCAAGGTGCAGGCGTGATGTGAGGCCCAGCAGTCCTGCCCCTTGGACCTGGGCGTGTGCCGGAAGGCGGACAATGGGACAGGAGCCCTTCCGGTTCCTTCTTCCCTGGTGACCCGCCCGGCCACCGGAGGCGCCGTGTGGCTCTGCCCCTCCCCGGGGTGGGGGCGGGGGAGCGAGGGCAGCGCCTGTGTGACACACGTCAGGACCTAGACGGGCCTGCAGGCATGAGGCTCCGGAGGGGCTGTGCCGGCCGCGTCTCCTCTCTCCTCTCCCCGCACGTCGCCTGGCCCGGGACGGCTGGTCACCGGCGTGGAGCGCGGCGCGTGCCCAGCGCTATAGGCCGCTCGCATGGCGCTTCAGAGAAGGCGCCCTCTTCCCGGCCCGTCCTTTGGCTCGTCTTTGTCAGCACTTTCCTTTCTCTCCTCCCACCAGGTTATCTTCCCTTTTTCGTCCATGGCCAGAGTGTGCAGTAATTACTAACCCATTCCGGAACTTCTCATCTTCCCAGAAACAAGCCCTGCACCCATAGGAGTCACTCCCCCCCCAAGCCCCCAGCCCTCGGCCTCTGCAGCCACTGTCCTCCAGTATCTACACGTCAGCCCGTTTCCTACACATGGAACCACAGTGTGTGGCTGCTCTGTCTGGACTTGCAGTGCTGTGTTTGTGACGGTTTTTGTGTCCGTGCTCCCAAGGGCGAGTGGTCTTCGGCTTTCTTTCCTCATCGGGGTGTGTTTGGGGCTCGGGCTCTGCTGGCTTTAGATGAAGCGGGAGTGTTTCACGTTTTCTGGAGGAGTTCTGAAGGTGGGTATCGAGCACTCTGTGAGCATTGGCTAGAGTGTATCAGTGTGGCCCGCGATTTCTTAGGGGGACGTTTTAAATTACTGACTCCGTCTCTGCTTGTCATAGGTCTGCTCCCAGCTTCCTAGTTTCTCTTCATTCCGTATGAACAGTCTATGTCTTTCCAGGAATGTGTTTCTTTCACTTGTGTTGTCTAATTTATCGGCACCACTTGTTCCTGTTTTTCCTTATAACTCTATTTCTATAAGGTTGGTGGCTATGTGCCTTCTTTTCTTTCTGATTTTAGTCTCTTGTTTCTCCTTTTTTTTCTTACTTAATCCAGCGAAAGTTTTGATAATTCTGTTGATCTTTTCAAAACCCCTCCTTTGGTTTTGTTGGCTTTTCTCTCTTTTTCTATTTTCTCATCAGTCTCGGCCTTTTCCTCCCGAACGTGCTTGCTTCCCCGGGACCCCCAGACACTCCCACCAGTTCTTGTTGCAGTTAGCAGGCCCAGCAGCGACATAGAGTAACCTTGGACTGGGAAGTGTGGGGTCCGCACGGAGCCCTGCGGTCCGGAAGGGCTGCAGATTGATGAGCGCCGGTGGCAGTGAGGATGCTGCCGAGGGGGGTGGGAGTACCGGGCAGCGAGCCGAGGCCGGAGGGCCCCGCCAGCCTGCCCCTGCTGCTCCTCGGCCACCCGCAGCTCATCCACGGGCTGTGGGAGACCATGAAACCGCAATCCGCTTCCTTCCTCCTCTCAGATTCTAGAACCACCTCCCGGAAGCGGAGCTAAAACTGGGGGAGAAAGCTGACGGTGGGGTGTGCTGCTGCCTCAGTGATGAGCAGCCGTGCCCAGGGAAGGGCCCCCGGGGCACAGGCTCCTTGGGAAGCCGAAGGCTGTGCTCGGAGCTCCGTGGAGAGGATTTAGAACAGCGGGGCCTCTTGGTGGAATCAGGAACCAACTACAGATAGGTTTTCACATTCCTGCCGGGACCACTCCTTCTGCCGCATCTTACTCACTCTGCCTGCGTCTGGTCTGCGCTAGGACGCTGCGCTGGGGGCACATGGAAGAGGTGATGGGTGCTGACGGGCGCCGCGTGTGAGCCCCGGAAATCTCTCCATTTCTCTTTCCTGTTCTCGTCTCCCCAGCGCCTCCCTCCTTAGCAGTTTGGGGTGAAGTTTTAAAAGCACTCAGCCTTGCTAACGTGTAGAAAGATTGGAGAAAATAGTTATAGTGTGTTTAGCATCTCTCTGGAGTTGGCTGCGTCAGTTGGAGAGTTTCTGTCCACCTGAGATTCGCTGTGAAGCTGAGAGCCAGTGGGCTTTCCCGCGTGCTGGCACTGGTGGGGAAGGAAGCTGGTCCCGCAGGTGGTCCAGCTCCCGCCCCCCAGCGGGGCCCCTCTGCTTTCTCAGAGGTCTGCTAAGACCCTGGTGCTCCCCTCCGCCCCCTGGTGTGTGTGTGTGTGTGTGTGTGTGTGTGTGTCCCGGGCCTGGTGCCTGGGGCTCCCGCGCAGGGTCCCCGTGTGACTGACTGGCTGTCAGTTTCCTGGGCCTTTATTCCGCCTGGGTCCCAGCTTTCCCGGAAAAGACAGAAACCTGGAAAACCAAGACGAACATGACTGCAAATGGCCAAACTAACATTTCAAAATTGTTTTAAATTCAGCTGCTTTACTTATACTTAGCTAAATGAACATCACAGTAAAACAGGATATAGCTAGTACCTGAGAAGGCCACGCCCACGGTGCTGGGGGGAGGGGGGGGTGGGGTGAGACAGGAGGGAACTGAGTCACGTCAACCTCCAGATCTTTAGAAAAGCTGGGCCTTTAGAGCCCTGTTATTGATGTTTAAATTTTATTTTAATTAGTTAAAGAAAGGTGAGCTGTAGAGAGCCGCCTGAGAAGGCACATGAACATTCTTTTAATTCTTATCAGCTGAGCCCGAGGGCACTGGAAGAATCCTTTATCAGTGCTGATTTCTTAATCCATGTGCTTGGAATGAGGAACAAACAGGACCTTGACTCACCCAGATCTCGATATTCTAAATCTTGTACCAAAAACTAGAGAGCTTACCCAGATTTTGATGAATGGGATCTGGGCACACCAGAAGCTCCTTTTGACTTTACACTCCCCTTTGGAAGCCAATAAAAAAAGGGGGGGGATTAAAAAACCTGATGAACAACAGTAACTGGTGGATATAACAGAATCAGAGGTATGGAAGGGGAGTGGACTGACGATTCTCAGGGAAAAGGGGAGTGGGGGTGCGGGAAGAGACTGAACATAAACTGTGCGCCTATGGCAGTGTGGGAACGGCGGTCCTGTGTGACTTCACTCCCGCGCTGACCTTGGTGTCTAGTTGGGATCTCGGCGGAGAGGCCCTTGTTCCTGGTACACGTCTTGATGGGATTGCTGGGCTGGGCCTGTCCCACCCGCTGGGCCTGCAGGCTGCTCTCCATGCCACACCCGCTTCACACCATGTGGGGGATGGAGGAGAGTCCCTGTGCTCCGTCCTCCCACTACTGTTATTGTTTCCCGTTCCCTCTCCCAGACTCCTGTGGGCCAGGACATGCTGCCTGGCGCTTGGCTGTGTCCCTGGGGCCAGGGAAGATATTTTGATTTTCAGTTGATTTTTAGGGAGAGATGGACGGGGTGGGAGTTGGCGGGGAGATAGAGAAACATGGATGGCTGCTCCTGCACTCCCCCTACCATGTATCGAACCCTCACCTGGCGCCCAGGATGAATGAAGCTCAACCAACCGAGCCACGCGGCCAGGGCGGGGATGTGGCTCTTCGTGTCCTCTGCCCCTTAACAAACGCGGTGCTTGCTTGTCGGCGTGGGTTAGAAGTTCTGTATTCGGTGTGTGGTTTGGAAACGCCTTCTCCGGTGTGCAGGCTTCTCTGCTTCCTCATGGTGTCCTTTGAGGTACAAACGTTACTAATTTTGATGAAGTCCAATTTTCCTTTTTTTTTTTAAATATATTTATTGATTTCAGAGAGGAAGGGAGAGGGGGAGAGAGACAGAAACATCCATGATGAGAGTCATGGATCGGCTGCCTCCTGTAAGTCCCGACTGGGGATCAAGCCCACAACCGGGGCATGTGCCCTGACCGGGAATTGAACCTGGAACCTTTCAATTCACAGGCTGACGCTCTATCCACTGAGCCACACGGGCTAGGGCCCAATTTACTTTTTTGCTGATTCTGCCTTTGGTGTCATATGTGAGAACCACTGTCAGGGTCAGCTCCCACTTCACTGTGGACCCTGGACTGCCTGTCTCCCCAGGACTTCCCACCCAGGACACGCCAGCCGTGTGGCTCGGTGGCACTTGCCCAGGTTGCCGGGTCAATCTCCAGTAGCGTGTGCAGGAGGCAGCCAATCAGTGATTGTCTCTCATTGATGTCCCTGTCACTCTCTCCCTCTCCTTCCCTCTCTGAAATCTATTAAAATTTTCACAAAATCCAGGAGCCAAGGAAATGGATTGCCAGCTCCTGGCCCGTGCCTGGCATGTGGCAGATGCTGAGCAGTCACCTGGTGGGTGGTGGAGGCCTGAGTGGGTGTGTGGACAGGTGGCGTGGGCTGAGTGGCTGGCAGGCTGGCAAGCAGGAACCAGCCAAGGTTTCTAGAACCTACTGTTGCTGCGTCACAGGCCTCAGTTCCCACCTCGGTCTTGCTCTGTTCAAAACTAACGCCCCCCTTCCCTCCGCAGCCTGCCGGGGCCACCTTGGTCAGCGTCCACTGCAGCCCCAACGACCAGATGCTGTGGGCGCTCGACAGCCGGTGCAACGTGCACGTCCGCGTCGGCATCACCGAGGAGATGCCCGTGGGGACCGGCTGGGATCACGTGCCAGGTGGGCGTGGGCGGCGTGGCTGTGGCGCTATCCCCCAGGCCGGCTAGTTCCTGCTGCTCTGCTGCCGGGTCCTGCCCCTGCCTCCCGGTGGCGTGCTTCCTTCTCCCCTCAGCCTCCCTCCCTCCCTGTGCCACTGCCGCCTGGCCTGACCCCCAGCGCCGTGCACAGGGCCAGCGGGGACCCCTCCCTCAGCTCCCCCGGCCCCGCCCAGGGCGCTGTCACCGTGGGGACAGGCACAGTGTCAGGAGAGCAGGCTCTTGGGGGGGTGCACCTGCCTGCAGCGGGGTCTGAGGACAGACCGGACGCCTTTCTGTCTGCAGGGCTGCAGGCCTGCCAGCTGGCGCTCAGCACCAGGACGGTGTGGGCCCGCTGCCCCAACGGGGACCTTGCCCGGCGCTATGGCGTCACCGACAAGCACCCCGCGGGGGACTACTGGAAGAAGGTTCCCGGGCACGCCACGTGCCTCACAGGCAGGTCCGGGTGTGGGTGCGCGGCTCCCCTGAGCCAGGCTCGGACCATGTTGGCGGCTGTCGGGGCGGCTCCCTGGGACTCCCTCCCCAGAGCAGCCCTGGGTGACCCTGAGGGAGGGAGCTGCACCCGGCTCTGGGCGCACCAGGGCCTCCAGGAGGGGGCGGGGCCGCCTGAGGACATGGAGGCACGGTCCTGGGAGGAGGCGTCTGGCCCCACATCCTGAAGGGGCCACGTGGGGACATGGCGCTCTGGGTGGCTCACGGTGTGGCTGCTCTCCCCGCAGTGACCTCCTCAGATGAGCTGTGGGCAGTGGGCCCGCCCGGCTACCTCCTCCAGCGGCTCACGAGGACCTTCAGCCGCGCGCCCGGCGCCCAGAGCAGCCCGGCCGCCGCCCCGCACCCCGAGGACCTGGAGGACGAGTGGGAGGTCATCTGAGGGAGCTCGGCGCAGGCGGCCGGACGTGCGGCGTCCATCTGCTCTGAGTCGCACCCGGACCGCCTCGTCCACACAGCCGGACGTGTGGGCACGGAGGCGCCCGCTCTTGCTCTCACCGCGTGTTTCCGTCTCGTTCCAGAGCCACAGCCGCAGCCGAGAGGCCGGAGCCTACGCAGTCGTGTCTGTGTGGGCAGGGGCTGCGGCCAGGTGCACGCACCCGTTCCCCGTGCTGACCCACACCCTCTGCTGCCACAGCGGCACGTCGAGGCCCAAGGTCAGTGCTCCCACCACTGGACGTGCTCCCACGGTGCACGCCGCCTCCCAGGGACGCCAGGCGCCCGGAGGAGAACACAAGCCGTGCTGGAGGGGGGGCGCTGGCCGTGCCGGGACGGAGGCCACGCCACAGCCGCCCAGGCCAGAATGCGCTCCCCGCCTGGAGGCACTCCAGCCACAGCACTGAGGCAGCAGGCGATGCCCGGGCAGCACGCCCCAGGCGGCCGGCACAGGAGGCCGCGGGGAGCGCAGCGCCCGCTAGCGGGGTCTCTGTCCGGCTCGAGCTGCAGGCACGAGACCAAGGCATCCTCAGGAGCAGTGACAGTTGTTGCCTTTTGTGTGTTGTATTACAAACCTGCATAACATACCTCGATGGGAGGGAGATACCAGGCTTAGGAGAGAAGTCTGCTCCCTGAAGCCAGAGGAAGGCCTCGCGCCTTCCGTGGTTTGTCCCGAGCCGCAGCCTCGGCTGCCGCGGCCGACCGTGGGCCTCACCGGGCGTCCTGCCCGGCCCCGTGCAGCCGGCACTGTCGCGGTGTTTGGGCTGATCCCCTAACAGGTTGGTGGTTGCTGTGGCCACGTCCGATGTCAGCCCGTGTCCGCCTGCAGTGCCCAGTCACCTCGCCGGCACCTGAGCCGTAGGACTCGGGGCCCAGCCTGTGTCCTCCCTGAGCCGTCCTCTCTGGACCCAGCTGCCCATTCCGGCTGCTGCTGGTTTTAGCTGCCTTTCGCTCGGGGCCCAGGCCCTCGAGGCCTGTTTCCTAATAAGCAAGGTGTCAAGCCCCAGGACCCGATGGCAAGCGGGAGGTACGTCTCCGTGGACACCGCCGGCGATGGAGGGTCCCGGGGGGACCGGGTGCTGGCCCGGTGCTGCTGCACGCCTCGTGGTCGTAGGTTTGGTGACGGCAGAGGCCGCCGGGGCTGCAGCGCGGTGGACCTCCCCGCTCCTCGGACGGCAGCTCCTCCCAGGTCCTCGGGTTCCACACATCACCCTTCTCGATGCGCTGCCCGCGGCTCCAGTGCTGGGCACGGCTTCTCCCTGGTTCTGGCTTTCGGTTGTGCTTTGAGACAGTACAACGACCTAGACATTTTCCAAGCCAGTCCCCGTGTCTGCGCCGTGACCAGGTGCCTTCTGGGCACTCACGGAGGCCGCGTTCCCGCCCGAGCTGAGGGGGAGGCCTGCCCACTGCCCCACTGCCCGCAGAGCATGGCGGCCGTGATCCCCTGACCCGACCCTCGCTGCACGCACTCCGGCCCGCCGAGGGGGCGCCCGCAGGTGCTTGTCCCCTGGGCCCCAGAGGCACTGAGGCTGCGGCGGTGAAACCTCCGTTCAGGGAGCAAGCGAGGGTGAGATGTGCCCTGAGGGACCAGCACACGGAGAAAGCACGTGCCGTACGGCTGGGCACCGGGGCCGGATGCTGATGAGCCCACTCCAGGCCCCGCAGGCGTGCCGCTCGTCCCAGTGAGACCGGTGACGGCGCCCGGCGCTGCCGCCCAGGCTGCCTGGTCCGCACCCTCCCTGTCCAGGGGGTGGGAGTGGGGGGTGGGGCCGGGGCACCCCGAGCCCAGCCAGGCCCCCGGGGGGTTGCACCTTGCAGGTGGCATCGGGCTGAGGGGACCCGTGTGCCACTGCTCAGCTATTTGCACAAAACAAACAAGCGGATTGAACGGCGTCTGGCTTCTGGGTGGCGAGGCTTTCTAACCCGGCGAGGGAAAGGCAGAGAAATGGACGGATTTCTTCATGGTGTCGGTGCTGCCGGTTAGAAACCACGACGCTGACGGACATGGCACCCCTGGCTGAGGCGCTGCACGCCCCTCGGCACTGGCTCCACCGGGAGGGACTGTCAGACGCCATGGACAGGAGGGGCGGGCCGAGGGTGGGGGAGCCCCTGGCAGCCCAGCGGCTGCCGAGAAACCTTGGAGAAACCTTGGGCCATGCACTGGCTGCTGCCCACAAACCTGTTGGCTTGTGAATTCTGAGCCGTGTAACTGAGTCCATAAGTAAATAAACCGGCATTTGACCAGTTTCCTCTTCGGGAGTCAGCAGAGTCCGCTCAGCAATACCGGGCTCTGCAGTACAGATGCTTGCGCTACGTACGTGTAAAGCCACTAAGCTGTGTGAGTGACCTGCTGTCATGGATGTAGAAACATGCCCAGGAAAAGTACATGTATATACACAGAGAAAAGACAGGAAGGAATGCACCAAACGCTAGCGGGTCTGGGGTACGGGGTGGGCCGGCCTCTATCGGGGGCCGGGCCCGCCCACCCTGCAGGCTTCTCTGCAGAGTCCGAGTGAATTCTATAAGCTAAATTCTCCCCTCTTGTCTTGATTGGGGTGGTGGATACACGTGTGTAGACATGTGTCATAATCCCTCAGACTATACACTTCAAGTCTATGCATTTATTACTTTAAAATGTAGCCAAAACCAGTCACTGAGCGCGCTCTGTCTGGGCCACTGGCTTCTGAACCGGGCCCAGCGCTGCACAGCCTGTCCCGACCTCCAGGACCCCGTTCTGAGCGGGTGTGGGTGCGGGAGCCGCCCTCGGACGGTGTTGGGAAGTTGAAGAGGGGGCAGGGGGTGGAAATCAGGGGAAAGGTAACCTCGGGTGAGGCTAGGCTGCAGAGGTCAGCACAGGGTCACGTCACCAGGGCCTGGCTGGCCTGCCCTCCTGGCATCCCCCAGCCACCCTCCAGCACGCAGTGTCCTGTGCTGTCCCTTCAAGCTCTGGGCAGGAGGTCATGATACCAACAGGTGCCCAGGGCACAGATTCTGGCCTGGCTGGGGGTCACTGGGTCCCTGGACGGGCGTGGGGGAACCAGGTTGGCCAAAGTCAGGTTTTCCTTTGAAAGATGAAGGAATGAAAACACCAGCGCGCTTCGCCGCAGAGAAGAGGGGGCTGTTGTGGGAGAGAAGCCAACAAGACAGCTGCCAGGGGCCCAGGGGAGCTGCTGTCCACCAGGCAACTTGGCCGGGCCTGGCCGTCTAGTCCCCGGACTGATGTCATCACCAGTGTGGTAATGGAGGGGGCGGGGTGCCGTGCTTGCTGCCCTCCCTGGGGCTGGAGGGCTCAGCCAGCTGATAAGCCCAACGCTGGGCCTGCCCTCCCTCAACCCCACCCCACCGGCCAGCAGCCGCCACTAGATACCCTTATCTGCCCTGCACCTCCCTCACCACAGGCGTCAGTCCTCAGTGAGGCGTGGGGAGGCCGTGCCAAGATCCTGCCTGCTGGGCTGTCACAGGGCTGAGCGGCCTGGCTCCTCTCCCTTCACAAGGACATCGGGCTGATGCCCGGGCTGCCCCCCTCCTGTCCACTCCTCCACGGGGTGCTGAGATGGGGCCTCCATGTCACCCCTGGGAGGAATGAGGGTGCAATCCCCTGCTCACCCCAAACCAAACCACTCCACTTGGGCCCTGGCCTTCCCCACTCTGCCACCCACAATCCTCCTGTTGGGACCCTGCCACAAACTCCAGGACCAGCCCCAGTGCCCCTCCACTTGCTTGACAATGAGGGAGCCCTGAGATGGGACAGCTTCCCCTGCCCCAGCCTCACCCAGTCCCAGCCCAGGGGGTTCAAAGGAGCTTGTCCCCAAAGAGGCGGGATGAAGGGGGACCTCGGCCAGGGCCTTGGGCAGCCCCGAGAGGCCAGAGCCGGCCCTGGGGAACGGGAGGAAGTCAGCAGGCCCAGGCCCCTGCCAGGTACCCCATCAGGGCTCCGAGTCCCTTCCCCGCACCCCCAGGGCCACCGTGACCACCTGGGCACTGGGTTCCAGGTTCTGCCTCCCTCAGGAAATGTCCCCTCCCCCACAGCAGCACCCCCGTGCGAGGACGGGGCTCCTGATGCCCCCAGTTTTGAACTGGGAGAGAGGTGAGTATTCCCCCCCCCAAACACACACTCCCTCACTCCCCACAGGTGTCAAGGTTCAGAGAAGATACCTTACTGCCTCAGGACACAGTGGGGGGAGGGGCCCAGGATCAGCCACTGGCTCTGCTCCCTTACCCTCTCCTTCCCACCAGGGCTGTGCACCCCCACCGCACACGTCCCAGGAACTGGGGCCATATGCTTTTCAGGGCACGTAGAGCTTGGAAATGGCCCCAAACCCTTTGAATACATGGGACACAGAAGCCCAGGGTGCAGGGCGTTTGTCCCAGGTCACCCTGAGGGTGGGTGGTAGGTACGGGCCTGAGCCAGGCCCACCAAGCAAGCCTTTCCTGCTACCCAGGCCCTTCTGTATCCGTCCTATGGCCCACCAGCCAGAGCCTCTGGCCCCTCAGGGACGCCGGGGGCAGGCTGGTCACCGCATCACGCACATCTTTAGCCCTCAGCTCCTGGCAGGACACCATGTCTGCTGCCCAGGCAGCACGGGTTGAATTTCGCGGCCCAGCAGAATTCCTGGGGCTGTGACGTGTCTGCTGGCAAGTCTGCACCTTGAGAACCTGCCGGCTCTACTGGCTGGACTAGCAGGCTTCCCGCTGGGCGATGCGGCCATCACCACCCGTGGGCACCACCCAACACCCCCTGGGGCTGGGGCTGGGCCAGGGACGCTGGGAGGCCCACCCTGAGGGAACTGAGGGCGGGTCAAGGCACAGCTAACCCACCTGAGGCCTGGAGCTGGGGCCGGAGCCCAGGCTGGGTGCCTGCTCATCCTCAGGGAGCAAAATGGGGGTGACAGCATGAGGCCAAGCCTGGAGAGACCAGGTTTGGGGGCAGTTCCGGTGATGCCCAGGGTGGGAGGGGGAGGGTCACTTGGGGTGCACCTCTTCCTGTCACACCGCAGCCTTCCGCCCTCCTCCCCCTCCAGCCCCAGCCCCTGCCCCTGCCCCAGCCCCTGCCCCTGCCCCTGCCCCTGCCGTCAGTCCTCAGCCCTGCTCAGCTTAGCGGTCACTGCCGGAGGGATAAGCTTCCAGCAGGTTCTAGAATCTAGATGCAGACCAGTGAGCTGAGGTCAAGGCCTGCTCTTGGGAGCCACGTGACCCCTCAGCCCCACTCTGCGTGGGGACCAGAAAGCCTGCCGCTTGGAGCCCAGCTGCCTCCCAGCCCCCATGGGACAGACGAGGCGGAGTCTCAGGTACAGCAACCAATATATGTAAAGTGCTAGCACAGCCTCCGAAAATAGTCTTCTCCCGCACGGGCCGTCCGGGGCGCCGGGCTAGCCCTTGCCCGTGAGGTCCAGCGGCTGCAGGAAGGGCGGCAGCGGCAGCTCCTCCAGGGCCTCGGGGAAGCGGCCGGGCGAGATGGCGGCGACCAGCACCTGCATGGCGCGCACGAAGAGCGAGGGCGGCGCCAGGCCGGCCAGCCACTGGAACTTGTCCTCGCCCAGCAGCCGCCGCCAGCGCGGCCGGTCGCCCAGCAGCTCGCCGCGGGCCAGGCGGGCGTCGGCGGGCGCGTACAGCACCAGCAGGTCCAGCAGCAGCAGGCGGCGCTGGCGCAGCGCCTCCCCGGCCCCGGAGTCGCGGCCCAGCTGGCGCAGCAGCAGCTGCAGCGGCGTGAGGCCGCCGGCGTCCCGCAGGCCGGGCGAGGCGCCGTGGCCCAGCAGCAGGAAGAGGCACTCGGGCCGCGCCAGCTCGCAGGCCAGGTGCAGCGCCGTGCCGCCGCCCTCCACGCGGCCGCAGCCGCGCCGGTCCAGCAGGCGCGCGCGCTCGTCGGCCGGCAGGTCGCGCACGGCGCGCAGGATGCGGCGCAGGACGCCCACGCGGTCGTAGCGCACGGCCAGCGCCACGTGCGGCCCGGGCGCGGCGCAGCAGCGGAAGCCGGCGCCCGGCAGGGCCAGCGCGCGGCGCGGGCAGGCGGCCAGCAGGTGGTGCGCGTAGGCCCGGTGGTCGTGCACCAGCGCGTAGAGCAGCGCCTCGGACGGCGAGTAGGCGGCGGCCCGGCCGCGCTCGTCCCAGTGGAAGGCCTCGCTGGCGCGCATGTCCTCCAGCAGCCACACGGGCAGCAGGTCGCGCACCGCCTGGTAGAAGGCGAAGGACGACTTGCGGCACTGCTTCTGCGCCCGCAGGCGCGCCGCGCTGGCGCCCTCCGCTCCGCCGGGCCCCCGGGCGTCCCACGGCATGCTGGGGGTGCTGGCGGGGTGCTGGCTGGGTGCTGCGGGGTGCTGGCGGGGTGCTGGCTGGGTGCTGGCGGGGGCAGCGCCCGCCTCACGGCATGGGCCCCGCGGCCAACCACCTGCAGGCAGAGGGACACGGTGAGCGCCTGGGCCTGTTCCCCCCACCCTCCTGCCCTCCTGTCCCCCCCAGGGGAACTGAAGGGCCTAAGAGGGATCTGATCACCCTCACAGGGCCGACTCTACCCACTCCAGCCTCGGACCAGCCCTTCCAGGCACCCTCACAGCCCCCTTCCCTGCCAGACCCCGACCACCTCCCGCATCCTTGCTCCTGCCGCGCCTGTCCGCCCTCCCGACGGCCCTCCTCTGGCAGCTAGGAGACCTGCGGCCCCGCGACCAGGTGACCCTGCGCCCCCAGCCCCGGCCCCCCCATCCCCGGCCAGGCGCATCCACCCCGGGGTGGGGGTAGGAAAGCTGGCCCATCTCAAGTGGAGCCAAATCCTTTCTGTGGCCCAGTCCCTTCTGTAGGACAAATCCCTGTCCTCTGACCCTGGAGGACAGGGCAGGGCTCTAGACCCAGACCTACCTGGCTCCTGCAGGGGATGCCCTAGCGGACGTCTGTCACTTTGCCTCTCTGAACCTCAGCTCCGTCATCTGTAAGGAAGGGGGGAATGAGGCGTGAACCCCAGAGGCAGAGTTTGGGGGGCGGGACACCCAACATGTTTGCTGGGTGTCCACACCCCTGGCTCCTGCGAGGAGGCTGGAGGGTGACGTCAACAGAGACGGGGCGCCCCGCACTTCACAGCCTGCGCACCCCGAGCGGACCCCGTGCTCTGCGGCCCCGGGGGAAGCAGGTGCCGCGTTCTCAGCGCGGGGCGGGCAGGGGCCAGGCAGCCCTGGCAGAGCCGCCTCCGCCCCGTCCCCTGCCTCCCGCCGCGGCTCTTTCCGCCCACGGGGTGCCCAGCCCAGGAGGGAGCCGGCTGAGCGCTGCCCTCGCACCCAGGGCCAAGTGCCCACAACTCAGGGCGGCGGGGCCTGTCACAGGGGCGGGGCACAGCGGCCGGAGGGCCCCACGCCGGCCCGCGCCCCCGGTGGACCGTGCGGACGCGCCGGCGGGTTACGTAAAGCGGCGCCCACGTCACCGGCATCGAGTCACGGCCGCGGCGGGAGCGGGGGTTGGGCCGCAGGGCGAGTGGCGCGTCCCGGCCGCCGCCAGCGCCTCCCGCGACGCGGCGACCCGCGGGCCGAGGCCGAGCTGCGGGCGGCGGGCGCCGCGAGGGCTGCACCTGCGGGCGCGGCGCCCGGGCGGGAGGCGGCGGGGAGCGCCGGCGCGGGCTGCGGGCGGCGGCGGGGACTCACCGTGGGGGCGGCGGCCGGGGCGCGGGGCCCGCGGGAGGCGCGGCGGCGAAGGTCCCGGACGGACGGACGGACGGACGGACAGACGGGAGCCGCCGCCCGCCCGCCGCAGCGCTCTCCGCCCCGCGCTCCGTCCGGTCGCTGGGCGGCGGGGCGGCCCCGGCGGCGGGCGGGCGCGGGCGGCGCAGTGCGGCCCGGGCCGGGCAGGACCCCGGCCGTCCGCCGCCGCCATTGGCCCGCCCTGCCGGCCCCCGCCGCCGCCCATTGGCCGCCGCGCTGCGGCATTGTTACGTCACGGCGGGGGCGGGGCGCCGGCGGGACCTGCCGAAAAGTTGGAGAAACTTGAGGGCGCGGGGCGGGCGGGGCCGCGGGGAGGGGGGGCCCGGGCCGCGGGGAGGGGGGCCGGGGCCGCGGGGAGGGGGGCCGGGGCCGCGGGGAGGGGAGACGGGGCCCCGGGGAGGGGAGACGGGGCCGCGGGGAGGGGGGGGCGTCAGAGGGCAGGAGCTGTGACTCCGAGGCCCTACCTCGCCGGCAGATGGCCCTTAGGGGTCACAGCTCCTGCCCTCTGACGCCCCCCCCTCCCCGCGGCCCGGGCCCCCCACCCCCGCGGCCCGGGCTCCCCCTCCCCCCAGCTCCAGACGGACTGCCCAGGGGGTGGACGAATGGTGCAGACAGCAGTGTGTGAGCACCTCGGGGTGCGGCTCTCACAGCTGTAGCGCTGGCAATGACGACCCCAATTCGCCCGCCAGGAAATGGGGCTCAGAGGGGCGGCCTCCAAATGAGCAGCCGCCGGGGAGCAAGCCAGGGCTCCCCGCCTTCCTGCAGACACGGGTGGTGGGTGGGGCCCCAGCCTTCCCACCAGGCACCCAAGGCGCACAGGGTCCCGCTGAGACCAGCCCTCACCCACACTCCGCCTCACCCGGTGCAGTTGGCCTTGCAGGCCGCCCATGCCCCCGGGGCCCACGGCGACCGGGTGGGCAGGAGCTGGGTCACAGGCGGCAGCGGCTCCTCTGGGCTCCCCTTATGCCTCCCCTCGGAGCTCCGATCCCTACGCTGCTCCCCTGCCTTCCCCGTCCTGGGGTCTCAGCAGGACGGGTCCGAGTGAACGGCGGTCCTGGGCTGAGAGCTGGCCTTGGGGAGCCCCGGGTCCTGGGGGACAGCCTGGAGCTGGTGGCTCAGGCCCGCAGCCGCCCTGCGGCCTGGGCCCCAGGAAGACAAGGGCTGGAGTGGAGACCTCGGGCGTCTCCATGGCAGCAGGGAGTGAGGGTGAAAGGGCATCAGCTGCGGGTGCCAGGCCTGCCGCTGACTTCAGGGCAGTCTCTCCCCGCCCTTCATGCTGCCTCCGCCCCCTTCCATTTGCCCTCCTTGCTGGGGTTCCCAAAGCCCCTTTCCGAAGGTCAGACCTGACCCATTTCTCTACGGCTTGGGACCTTGCCCTGGACGTGGACTCGGCCAGAAAGGCCAGGTGGGGAGGGGCACGGCGCTCTGGGCGGAAGAGGGGGACCCAGCTGGAGGGAGCAAAGGTCCGGGAGAGGCAGAGGGAGGCGAACCGCGGGGCAAGGAGCTCCTGACACTCCCAGCGGAAACGTTTGGAAGTTTGACTTATTTCTGACACAGAAAACAGCGAGCCCAGCGCCGGGGCTCCGTGCTTGAGCGTCAACCTGGGAACCAGGAGGTCACGGCCGGACTCCCGTGGGGAGTGCAGGAAGCAGCCGGTCACACTCACCAGGTCCAGAGCGGCCTTCACTTTATGTCTTATCACTATTTTGAGGTTAAACCTTTGAAGAGAACACAGCTGGCTACCTGGGGGTAGGGCCATGCTGCGTGTTGTTTTTGTTTTGTTAATAGCTTATTGGTTTTTAGAGAGGTGAAAGGAACGGGAAACATCCACTGGAGAACTTAGTAACCCCATCAGCTGCCTCCTGTGCGCCCCCTACCGGGGATCAGCCTGCAGCTGGGCATGTGCCCTTCACTGGAATCACACCGGCCACTCCTGGCTGGCCAGGCTCCTGCTGTGCTTTTCCTGACGAAAAGGGGGAGCAGCCCGGAGGCGGGGGGTCTGGCCCCTCAGCAGCAGGGCTTTTGGAGGGGGCTGTGAGCCTGGAGCCTTGGCACCCTCTCCCTCACCAGTGAAGCTGCCTCCTGCCCCTGGGAGACTGTCTCCGTGGCCCTCTGGCTCTCATAGGGTCCCTCAGCCCCCTGGGGCTGAGGACTCCGACTGTCTCATTGAAGGAGCTGGCCATTTCTTTTAAATATATATTTTACTGATTTCAGAGAGGAGGGAGAGGGAGACGGATGGAAACATCACTGATGAGAGGGAATCATTGATTGGCTGCCCCCTGCAAATCCCACCCTGGGGATCGGGGCCACAACCCAGGCGTGTGCCCCAACCAGGAATTAAACCAGGACTCTTGGTTCATAGGTCGATGTTCAACCACTGAGCTATGCTGGCTGGGCAAAATTCCCTCCTGACTCATTAGAATATCTGCCTGGGGCAGCCCCTGTCCTCCAGCAGGATGATAATTCCCTTCCTGCTCAGCAGGTTTACAAGGGAAATGGCAGGGCTGCCGTGGGCCGTGCACGCGATATGCAGCCACCGTCACAGGTCAGAGAGCCGGCGCTGCCGGTCTGTCAGGTCAGGGGAGCCGGGGCCTGCCCCAGGGAGCCACCCGCCTGAGCCATTCTCTAGGGACCCCCGTGCCGCACGGGGCTGGCCTCCAGGCCTGAGCTGCTGGGATTCGTTTTTAAATATTTCAACGTGAAAATGTTAAAAGAAAAAGCGTCCATATCGCATATAATAAAAGACTATTATGCAAATCGACTGGTCGCTATGACGCGCACTGACCACCTGGGGGCAGACGATCAAGCAGGAGCTGCGCTCCGTAGGGGAATGCCGCTCAGCCACAAGCCAGGCTCAGGGCTGGCAAGCTCAGCGGTGGTGGCGGGACCCTCTCCCACGTCCACGGCAGCGCTAAGAGAGTGGGCCTACACCATCAGCTGGACATCCCCCGAGGGCTCCCGGAATGCCAGAGGGCAAAGGTCAGGCTGAGAGACACCCCCAACCCCAAGTGTACAAATTCTGTGCACCAAGCCTGTAGTTGTTATATAAATGCTGGAAGCCACCTACTAGCCTGTTGGGGGGAGAGTCGGCAAGAGGAGGGAGGGTCCCTGGGAGTTTTTACTCTATACCTTGTAGTCATTTGCTTACATATTCACATCTTATCTGTGTAACGAAGGTGGGTTTTCAAAAAGGCAGGTCCCACTGGCAAAATGCTCCTCACGGTCATTGCTTCGCTGGCTTGCCCGATGAGGTAGGTCAGATTGTCAGCTCACCTTACAGGCAGGGAAACTGAGGCTCGGAGAAGAGCTGGAACCTACCAGCTGAGGGAAGGCTTTGGTATCGGGAGCTCCTGAGCCCCTGGAGTTTCAGACCACTCTGTTCCAGCTGGCGAGGTCCGAGTCCTCCCCTAGCGTCACCCTACTCACAGGATGGGGCCAGCTGCATGTGGGTGGTCCCTCTCCCTGGCGGGAGCCAGGGTGAGCCAGCGCTCCCAGCACCCTCCCTCATTAATTTAGCCAAACTGGCCCTGAGCCTGCTCTGAGGACCTGGGTGAGTGGCAGGAAAGGGGCACCTGCACCCCTCACATGGAGTC